CACTGACAGGTGCCATGATAACCAGATAATCAGTGTTATTCCCTTCACCTGTCAGTGCTCAAAATGTTATGGCTGATCGGTGTATAACATTTAAGAATATAACCATGGAATTTTTTTTGTAGAGAAATTGTAGAATTTCTCACAGGATTACTGTGTCATTTTAGCAATGAGGTTATTTCCTGAGCACAGCAGTTTATTGATGACTGATTGTGTAAATGCTCTTTACTTTATAAAGTTAATGCATTAATAGAAACCTTATTAATGCTGTCAGTATCTCTGTACTCAGTACATACCAGTCTGTCGGGTTTGGTGGCCCACTCTAGAGACAGCAGAGGAGACTTAGACATGATGGTGGCTTTGGTCTGCATGATGGGGTTGAACGACCACACCTGTGGAAAAGGAGGAGGAGGAGGTGGAGGAAGAAGGATTAACTAGGTGTTTCAGTTAGTTATAAACAGTAGTAACAATATGGATGTTTTTTTTATTGTCTATGTTAACACAATGCCCTAAAGATAAATGACGCAGATTCACCTTGATGACTCCGTCTACATCCAAACTGGCAACCCGCCGACCAGAACAGTCAACCCTGGAAAACAGAAGGACAGATGGATGACGAGAAGATGGTGTTCAGAAACCAAGCAGACTCATAGACATGTTACATATTATGAGAAGGAAGGACTAGGGTCCATCACCCTAGTTTGACCAGTTAAAACTAAAATGGGGGTATGTTGGAGGCAGACCTGCAGTGCATGATGGAAGAGTGGTGTTCTCCATATTCCTCCTGGCTCAGTTTGATGAAAGGCTGTTCTGCTGACAGACCTCCTCCCTCCTCCCTCCCCTCAGGAGGTTCACTGGAGGTCTCGGCAAGAGGCTCTACCTCGCCTGCCTCCCCCTTCTTCTCTGGTGTCTGAAGATAACACATGGAAGGATGTTGTCAGTGCACACTAAACTAGCTGGCTTGCTGCCAGTTGGCTAAAGCAAGCCTGCTAGTACAGTCACAATAATAAAGCAATTATTATAGGCAATAATTAAAACAGGTTATTCAAGGGGATGTATTTATAGCATGTAAGTCACTACACCCAGCTGTTGTTCAACCAACTACCACGCTCCACAAACCACAACTCATTTTTACATTTAGTTTATGTTGAGGTTTAAAGGTGTTGGCAGATGTATTTTTTAACTTTGGAGAGACCTAGGCTAGCGGTTTCCTCCTGCTTCCAGTCTTTATGCTAAGCTAAGCTAAGCTAAGCTAATCACCTCCCGGCTCTACGTACATGAGAGCGGTATTGTCTTACACTCCGCAATAAAGCAAATATGCTTATTTACTAAAATGTAAAATGTGTGACCACAGCTTCAATACTCAACTTCCCCCCCTTCAGGTACCTGTGATAGCGGTTTGGAGAAAAGCTCCTTTCTCTCTTTCTCATGATCCTGGATTCTCTTGTGTCTGGGATGTGTTGACTGGTTTGTTGACTGTTGGGACTGGGAGCTCACAGGTTCACTAGTTGATGCCTGGCTGTAAACTGGCTTCACTTCCTTAGGTTGGACTGCCTCTTTTGACTTTGCAGGCTAAAAAGACAGAGATACAGAAGATGATCACAGGTCAGAACTCTGTCAGCCACTCACAATATTGAGAACCTCCATTATGGCTGCCAATGAAAGATTACAGCCATAACTTGTAGAAAAGCACAATTGGAACATCTGTGTTGCCTTCCACAGGTTTCTCAAGGGACGTTTTAAAGCCTGAAAAGGTCATGCCCAAAGGAGTGTGGCATTGACACCTGTCAATCAAAGCATACCCAATCAAACCAGCCAATGGGAGATGGTCAGTTCAGTACTTGCTTTTTAGCAGGCTTCACCCAGATTCAGGGTTTGGAGTTTCATTCCCTTTAACTTACAGTCAATACGGTCAACATTTTCTTGGAGAGGCAACTAGAGGACATTAGAGGAACTGCAGCTGAACATGTGCCAGCTCTGTTGCTGCTGATTGGTCACACATGAAAACAATTCTTTCAAACATTCCACCAGTTGTGGTAGAGACTTTGGAATTTAGCGGCTGTCGTGACCTCAAAGATATTCAATTTCCTGTTTTCAATCCCACTGAACTTTTAAACACTAGACCTGCTCTCACCAGATTGGTCGCTGGATCCTTCCTGCCCACTGCTACCTGGCTTGGTGAGGACCCGGTGGTGAACTGAGGTGGTTTCCCTGGAGTGCGTCTGCCCTGTGGTAGGAATGTAGAGAAGAAGTTTCTGGAAGGAGTGGTGGCGGTGCTGACAGCGCGCTGGCTCGACACCAAGTCCCTAGGAAGGTGGAAAGACCAGAAAGTGAGGAAGTATAACAACAAAGCACTGACTGAGTACAAAATTAATCTGAGCTGTAATAAAGTCACACTTTTGGAGGATGCCCCTCCGTTTGTTAACCTTGCGAGGCAGCTAGACTCACGAGATCACAAAATCATGATTATGCTGCTAGCTGCTAGTTATTTCTGATTCTCCGACCGGCTTCAGATTCAGACAGACTTCCAAGATAACATCTGACACAGTCAGGTTATCACATTTTAGCATCCCCCCAAAGCTGCTACAAGCTTAATAAGTAGGAGAATAACTTCACTATAGAACAGGATATTCATATAGCAGAACAGAAATACAGACCAACATAAAAGGTGTGGAGGGACGTTCCCTTTGCACTATACAATTGGTAAACTGCAATGCTTTTGTGAGTATCCTGAGCAGACTTGAACCTCATAAAATATAAGGTTCCATTTGTGTCAGTGATGAAGTATTTGTATTGTACATTTGCCCAATTTTTAGGCAAAAGATTAGCTCCTGCACATTTGCCTCGTCAGAAAATAGAAATTGTAGACAAAAGAAAATGCAAATCAATTCCCATCCAGATTCCATCCAATCCCGCTATGGGAATATTAGGAGTTGTGCACTAATTCTCCAGTTGGGTGCCATTAAACCATTGCAGATAAAGTGACTGAAGGAATTTTATTTAAGTCACATGCTGCATGTGAGTCATAATTTGTTTTGAAAGTTTGTTTCCATTGCACTTTCTATGAGTGTATTTTACCCATACACCACTTTTCCAAGCGTAAAAACTTTTCTGCAATAAAATATTTAACAGTTTTCCTTTTTTTTTTAAATTTCTGGTGATTCCATCCACCTGGTTTTATGCAAATTATTTAATTGAAGATGCGCATAATTCCACCAGTGTGTCCTTGTGAAATAGGTGGTGGTAAAGCAAGTTAGTAACTATCTGTAGCTTGCAGGCTAACTGCTAACATGCTAGCCACTAGTCAGTCATAGTGGCTATTCAAGTTAGCACTTTACAGGTCAGCACTTTCAAGGATTGCTATTGGTCAACAGTTCATATTTGTGCATCAAAGTTCTAGTGCTTATTCACTATTTGCTGTTTTAAATTGAGTCTTTAATGTTTTCTTGTAGAGGAAATCTATGACTTTACATTTAAAAGAAATGAGGGAGGACAACATCAAAGACCAACATGTCGGATGGACTAGAAGACAACAGCAATCATGCCATTAAGGTAACAGACAAAGATGCTGCCAAACAACACTGAAGACAATGTAACATGAGGCGCCCTGGTTGCCTTAAAAGTGGATGGTGCTGAACATGAACTGCAATACCATTGCTTCAAGTCTGGCCTCGGACCTTTGTTACATGTTGTTCCTCATCTCTCGTTCCCATCAATTTCTGTTATCTCATTCCTGCTGGCTCTAATAAAAGTTGTACAAATGCTACAGAAATACTGTGATGGTTTTCTTTCCCGTACTGCAGTGAAAGGACAGAATGTGAGAGTCTGGAATGTGTTCGGCACTGTAAGTAGCAGTAGTTTTTAAAAAGGATTTTACATAACGTGCACCTTGTATGCTAATTATTTTACAGTCTCTGCTGTAGCTCACCGTGCAGCTATTGTCAGAGCCTGTGATACAGCATGGCACAGGTGGTTTTTCATACAAAAGGACTTCACTTACCTCAGTGATGTGTTGGACGTTTAACGTTGGCATAAACAAGTGGTGGGGTGGTTTCTTAAAGTATTATTTTTTTGGGCTTTTATGCCTTTATTTGACAGAGATAGCTGGAGAGAGACAGGAAAGGGGGGCAGAGAGAGAGGGGACGACAAAGGCCGCAGTCGGATCGACCCGGGTCCCGCTGCGTATATGGGTCGCCCAGCTTACCGAGCTGACTAACCGGGTGCCCAGTGGGTTGGTTTCTAAGGTTATTATGATATTTAAAACAATATATGCAAAAAGCTATTTGCTATGCTAAAGATATAGTGGAGCATGCTGTCCTGAGCAAAGAATGACAGGCACACCTCCCTCTGCCTGTGTTTGCTATCGCAGCTCTCTGTGTTTGTTTACAGACTGTTCAGTCTTGGCGTGCTTGTTCGTGCATGAGAGTTCTTCTGTGCTTTCAACTGGTAGAGCAACTGAACTGCTGTTTTTCTTCTCTACCGTTGGTGAATTAAGGTTTATTCCATAAAACAGGAGTTTGGTGTTGTTTGGAAAAGTAGAAGGCTAACAAAGCGTTTTGGTGAGTTTTATTTTTTGTCCCGTCCACAACTTATTATGCTGTTACATTCTTAAGCTGTCAGTTGGTTTTATGTAGGGAGTGCACAATACTTATCAGGGAGGAAATTATTAGTCCGATGATATAATAAATAATATAAATATAATGATATAATCAAAATCTGCTTTTAATTTAATGTTTCTGTTTTTAAGTCTATAAAGGCAAATATGATTGTGAAGTTTTTAAATGTACTTGATGTAACAAAAAATAAGAATAGTCAAATCTGTTGTTGTGTTTAACAATAATGATGTCAAGTTAGATTTGGTTAAAACAGAATTTAATCTTCATCTTTGTCACTACATCTTGCCTTTCTTACCCTCAGGAGTGCTATAAACTACAAGGTTATGACTATTTTTAAATTAAAGGTGAATTATATTATGATCGCCATAAGAAGCAGGAATTCTTGTTATTAGCTCATATCCGGCATCCTAATTTTCTTTATTTCCTTTTGTATGTTATTAGTTTTAACATATGTTTTTTTACATATTCCATGTTAAACGAAATTTCAGAGCCATTTTGATATGCTTTTTTAGGCTTTTGAAGGCTTCTTGAAGAACATACCGTAATGTTTTTTATTATTATTATTATTATTATTTGCAAGCACAGTATTTATACTATGCGATGACCCAAACTCTGTATTTAAGTTTTTTGATCTAGTGTTTCCTTTTTGTCTACCAATCAAATCGCATTACCTCAGAGACAGAGTGCTGACCAAAATTAAGAGTTTCGCATTTGGTACAGGCAGAATGCGAGAATAAATGCCTTGGGGATATTGAAATGTCAACAATTTTCCAATCTGATGTATTCTGTCCTGGTCTGAGAATTTAACTGAGTCCTTGGTCGGATCCAGAGAATAAAATAACTTGATCTGGAATTCATTAGAGCACAAAATTAACTCCTCCATCATTTCTGTCACAGTAAAATTTGACCGCCATAACTTTCCCGCCGTAAATCCAAGAACCTGAATCCTACGTTTTGATATTTGAGGTCAAGATGAACGAAATTTTGGTTTCCATTCCTGGCAGAGTATCTGTGTACTGCTACTGTATGATCCGTGCAGCTGCTGAAGGAACCTTGCTGTTGGGACCAAATTTGTGACTATGGGTATGAAGCTGTTTTTTATGATTTTCAAGATTAAAGCACTTTGCCCGTAATATCTGATTTGCATTAGCACAGTCCAGGGGTTTGTACATCTACAAGAATTATTTCCCAACAATTTGTTTTAAGATTTAGAAATTTTTGTTTCCTCAGATTAATTGCACTGGACTTTATGTACAGCGCCTTAGACTTTAACTAAGCAAAAGAAGAAACATATTGCTTTTTAGCATCACTAACACATAGGTTTACGTCAATTTTTTTCAGCAATTGGATTGAGATGTTACAGCTTCAAGATTATCCAGGAGTTTGCTTCCCACCCTCAACAGCCTGAGGTCCTCAGACAGAACCAGGGCGTTTTTCCTGTGGCTAGATTTCGTGATCTCCGGATTCACAATGTTCTTTAAATCATTTCAACTTAAAAGATAAACTATGTTAGGATTTAGGGGCATGTAGTGGTGAAGTTGCAATTTAAAGTGTTGTAGAAGTTACAGTGGCTGCAAAATTCAAAATTCAAAAATGTAAAAGGCACCATCTATCTACAGATACAGTGTTTGGTTTGTCTATTCTAG